CACGTACACACACACACACACACACACACACACACACACACACACACATATATATATAGACACGTGAAACAGAAAAAAAAAGCGGATGCACATAGGTCATATTCGTACATATTTATGCGAAAAAGGAAAGGAAAAAGATTAATGTAATAAGAAACTATTATATAGAGAGAGTATTAAATAATAAATTTTATCGTGTCGCCCAGGTAAGTCGGCAAGTAGTTTCGTGAGGCGTAGCGCAGGAGAGAAGATTATAATAATATAAGAAAAACGAAACTTGGGAGTAAAACTTACGGATATTCGACGGGCCGCGTCGTCCGTTCTTTTTTTTTCCATCCGGAGAATCGTAAGACCACTCTCAGGATCGAGTAGCCGAATTTCTCGGATCTAATAATCAAATCGCCACGATTTTTTACAAGGCGGAACGCTGTGCGAAAATGTGAAATGTGTTCGCCGACGCAGCGCTTTCGCGAAAACCGGTATCGCGTATCGGACGATCCGCTCGTTTTCTCGCAGACAATTCGATCGCATGACACTCGATGTAATAATCCTCGCGAATAATCCGGATTCCGGGCGGGCACGTCGGCCCGATCGAGTTTCGCCGAACACTTTCGTTGACACTCGAAGTATACCGCCCACATGCGCGAATTAGAAAGACACGCCAGCGTCCGTTTCTCAAAGGGCTGACGAGGGAAGGGACGAAGCTCTGCGCCGCGTAAACTGTCTTCTTTCGGTATTTTTAAATGGCATTCTTACGCGACACAGGGATATCCAGAGAGGATTCATTGCGAGCGACTTTTATTCGACTTTAAAAACAGAAATTCTTTTCGAAGTCGCCCATTCACGTAGAGATATCTTTCGACCGTAGGCGTCGTCCCCCTGAAAACGAAAAGATGAACGGATAATCTCTCCTTGAGGCTATTTTCGCCGTCGCAAAAGAGGTTTGCAAGAAGCTTTCTCGGTCGAGATCTTTATCGGTCGAGTACAGATCGATATAAGTTTGAGATACGGGAAAATATAACGATTGGGTGTGAGAATTGTTTTAATTAGAGAAATTAAACTGTCGTGTTTTCATATATATACGTATATTGCTCACGTAACGTTAAGTAAGAAATATTTTATCTTTTGCAAGGAGCATGCCGCTTGTTGCCGCGCACCGTGACGAACGAACGTCGCGAATGAACATGTTCGCGTGTACAGTGTAGTTCACGCCTGTAATAAATTCTATATCCTGTTTTCGCGGTATATCATTTGCTCGCGTTGACGTAAATCGCGTGCGCTGTGAGAGAGCTCTCCCTGGGAGCAGCGCGGGTCGATAAGGATTGGCTCTTCAGGGCATTTCTCGATTTTGACTCGCGAATTTTACTGACCCGTGCGGCTTTCACGGACATACCGGACGGAAGTACCGCGGCGAACAACGTCCACGGGTACGAAGGCACCCAGTACCCGTCAGGTACAGACGTTATCTCCTAATGGACATATTGAAAAATATTTCGGGACATTCGGACGAATAATATCCAACCGTTCACAACGTTCCGTGTATCGCGTGTTGCGATTACCCGATTCACTGGTAGCGGCATAGCAAACGTTGGGGCAGCGTGTCGGGTAGAGGCGGAAAAATAGAGAAAAACGGCGCAGAT